CCTGACCGTGGGGCAGCACGTGCTGCCCCTGCCTGTCCCTCTTGGTGTGCTCCTCCTGCCTGCACACAGGGGATGGACAAGAGCCTGTGCCATGGCATTCCCCAAAAGTGGCCAGGAAGTCAGGGGACAGCCTCCCAGGGACCTAGCACCAAGACCAAGACCTCTGAAGGTGTGTGAAGGCGATAGGCAGGGATGAAGGGCAGGGAAGGAGCAGTAAAGACAGCCACGTATGCTGATCATATTGGTGCTGAAAGATAAAAGAGGGATGGTGGAGAAAAGGGTGGAGAGGAAGAGAAAAAGGCAAGAAGGAAGCTTGAGAGGGTGAGGAGAGAGATGCTGGGCTCTGATCTCTGCTTCCCGCACCTGGGAGCAATTAGAGCTACTCTGCCTGTGCCCCGCAGAGACACTGAAGGGATGAAGATGTGACAAAGACCAGGCTATTTTTTGCTGAGGTTACTGTCACTAATAAATGGAAACTCTCCCTTGACACGTGTTCCTGTTCCTTCCAGCGTCTGGGCATTTGGCATCCTCCTCCAAGCACAGCCTTGCCGGTAGCAGCTTCACTTGGAGCTGACCCACGCTCCCTCCAGGGAGGCGAGACTCGTAAACAATTCTGTGAAATACGGCTGAAAGGCACCGAGAGGCTGTGCAGGCACCCCATCCCTCTCCCCATGCCGTGAATCAATCTCCAGGGAGGCAGGAGCAAGGCAGGGAGCTCCATCCACAACCCGGGATGGAGCCAGCATTCCGAGGGGCTGCTTTTCCTGCGGTCTCCGTCCGACGGAAGGTTCCTGCTGTCTGCACCACTGTGGCAAGCAAGATGGGGAAAAGGGAGCTGAAGGGGAGGCAGGAAGAGAGCTGGGTCCTTGCATCCCCACCGTGATCTCTCAGCACTGAGATAATTGCCTGCTGGTGACAGCTGAGGTCAGGCATGACGGATACCTTGGGAAGAGCTCCCGGCTCCGAGATCTCCCTGCAGGAACCCGGCTCAGTACTGGGGCTGAGGGGTAATTTTCCCGATCTCCCCTAGCACAGGCTCTCTCTGGGTGGATCCAGGTTCAGGTGATGATCCTTCCATCATCCCTGCCTTCAAAGGGCACAGAGCCCCATCCAACAGCTCCACACATGGCCTGTGATCCTTGGGGAGGGATAGAGAGTAGTAGGGTGCCAAGCCTGAAGGCTTGGAGCTCCCATGGGGTGTGATGAGAGCCCCCAGGCAGGAGCAGTGCCCACCTGGGGGTCAATGGGGTGCAGATGGACCTGCCTCTGCCCTCTATCCTGCCATGACCAAAGGAGGCTTTTTCACCTTGCTCCTTGTCATGCACCAGGGATGCGTGGAGCACCAGGCAACCCCACTTCATCTGCCATGGGAAAGGGGCTGGGGGTCAGGGGGTCCTGCAGCTCCCTCAGATGGCTGGGAGGCCGGTGGGCACATCCTGGGGCTGGTAATTCATCCTCCCTTCCCTCTGCAGTGGCCTCGCTGCAGTGGGACTTGCCTCACCTTGTCCCCCGGCTGCAGTGCTGAGCATGGGGCAGGGCAGGAGAGCTGATGTTGGGCATGGAGAGGGCAGGATAAGACATGGAGCCTGATGCCACCAGCTTGGCACCTGCCGTAGAGAGCACGTGCCCAGGCAGGGAAGGAGGCAGGGAAGGAGGCAGGGAAGCAGGGAAGGAGGCAGGGAAGCAGGGAAGGAGGCAGGGAAGCAGGCAGACAGCGCTCCGGGGTGGCTCTGCAGCACCCTGGGCTCCCCTCTCCGCGGTGCCGGGGAGGCTGACAGGATCATTACAGCCGCTATCTGGGCTCACGGGCTCATCCCTCTCCCTTTCGCCTTTTGCATAATGGATAGGCTGTGAGTAATGGGAAATGGCAGCCCAGCCGCGCTTGCTGGCAGCCCCTTAATGAAGAATATGGAAATCTCATCAGTCCAATCAGGCCAGCAAATGAAACTGCTTTCCCCTGCCGATGTGAGCAGAAGGCTAACGACCCATGCTCCCGGGCTCCATCCCGCTCCCAGGAAGCCCCCCCTTCCCTTCTCCGTGTTGACAAGTGAGCTGTGAACTTCATTTTTTTCTGGCAAGCAGAGCCCCAGCTCATCTTCCCTGCTCCCCTTCCCCAGGCTTGGGCCAGCAGGTATATCTGTCCTGAACCTTCCTCCTGCTCTTCAAGGGCATCACTCCTGACTCACGGTGGAGTCACCATCACATCTGCAGGTGTCACCCATCCCCAGCTCCTGGTCCTCCCTTGCATCCTCGTGTCTGAGTCTCCCAGCATCAGCTTTGCCACAGCTGCAGGTGCAAGTCAGACCCCCATGGTGGGGATGTGGGATAGATGTGGTCCCTGGCTGCAGTCACCTGATACCTCTGTGTCCCTACAGGCACTGAGGTCTGGTGGGCTCATGTCCATAAAATCCCAGCACAACTGAGCTTTGTGGACTTGTGTCTTCTCCTGGAGGGACACCTGCAAAGCGCTACAGTGTGAAGAAACCACTATTTCTTGTGTCCCTTGTCCGTCAGCCACAGCCTTGAGCCTGTTACAGAGCACAGGTCCATCTCCTGCACCATCTCTGAGCAAGACCTTCAGTCATGATACCTGCACAGTGACACCCCTGGTGGTATCAGAATTGGAGCATCTTCCAAGAAACTCTAACCCCCAGTCACACAGGGGCCACTCTGCCAGGAGCTGCAGCATCCCCCGCTCCAAACACATCCTGCAAACTTGGTGATGTACCTTTTGTCTCCTCCTCCCCATAAGCACTGTCCTGGTCCTTAGCAGCCTTGAAGTGCCTCCAATTCAGGTCCCACAGGTTTTGCTGTTGCTCTGAGCTTTGGAGCTGTTGTCTCCATGGAGCTATGAAACACTGTCAACTTGGCTACCATGGTGGCCTAGAACTTTGTCTTGTGTGTCTTGGTAAGATGTGTGGCTGAGAAAACCTGACCTTGTCCACAGTGGGGCACAAGACATGGTCAGTGCTGGGGTCCCAGTCCACACTGGCATCTGTACAAGGACTTGGACTCACTGCACAGGCTGTTTGCCCCAAATCTGCACCGAGAGTTCATAGCTGGACTGGCTGAGTCCAAAATGGGGCAAAAACTAGATGTTTGCACAGCAGCTCACACCAGCAGGTCCTCACCTCCAGGGCAGCATCCTCTGGCCTTTGCAACACTTCAGGCAGGGGAGAGCAGCAGCATCCTCTCCTGCATCTGTCTGCTCCGTGGGCAAAGGCAGGAGGCTGGCAGGGAAACGGCCGCTCGCTGGTTTGGGGAATGTTTCATTACCAGCTTTCACAGCCAGTGTGTAGCTCCTAAACTGACAGTGTGCCTCGGCTGTGAATTTGCCCAGAAACACCGAGGTGGGTATAGGTTTTAATAAAATCCCCAGCCATGTGTACAGCCAGGGCATTCAGCCATGCATAAACACCTCCTGTAGCATATGCTTGTGCTATAGCAGAGGATGCTAACTCAGGGCTGGAGGAAACCATTAGTTTCCATGAGTTATAAGATCATATCTGGAAACACCTCTAACAAGCCAAGATCAGCGCGGCAGCGGAGCTGGCGCTGGTCCCCGGCGCGGGCTGTTTGCACACATCAGTAATGATGGGAACGAGCGGCTGTTCAAGGGGCTGATCAACATCAAACCATTGAAATTAAAGGCTGAGGAGAAGCAGAGCCATAAACATTTATTGCAACACTCTGCATATCATCAGCTGCTGATTTGGAGGCAGTGGAAATGTGCAGCTGAAATAATAGGATTTATCGGAGTCTGAGATGAACTGTCCTTGATGGATGGTTGTAGAAGGGAAACAATGTGCCATGTCCAGCAAAAGGCCATTCCTAAAATACAGCAAGGGGGTGGGGGGGCTGTTGCCTTTATTAATACTAGTCTCTCACCATTTTGAAGCCCACACCAGCCATCAGACCCAACTGCAGCTGAATGAGGAAGCCAGCTTGAAGACAATGTGCTGGAATATCCCAGAGGACTGGAAATCAGAGTTGTGGTCTCTAAACGCTGAGTGTGTAATTTGCTGGAAAGTTGACACCCTTTCTGCTTCATCTTGATGTGTTTTCCATTTGTTGGATCCCCTTTACATTTCTGTCTCTGCTCTTCAGACAGAAAAAGCAAATCTAGGAATTTCTTCAGCCGCTCTCTCTTTGGTTGCCATTTTTTTTCTGTTGCTTCGCTAACAAAACTCAAATTCATTAAAAATGACACCAACAGTTCGCCTTTCATAGCAAACTCCATCTCCTATCACCCACTAATGCAACAGAACCCCACCTTTGGAGGGCAAACACAGCTGCTGTGCTCCCCCCAAACAGCAGGTTAAGGCAGGAACTGATGGCACTCAGAGCTCAGCTGCTGTAATCAAATCATGTCCTGTCACCTTGAGCACCCTGTAATGCTCCTACAGCTAACAGGCTGGGAGGAGGAGAGGGCTGAGAAAAGCAGTGTCAGAAGAATGTAGGAAGAGAATAATTTGATAGATTTTTTTAGTTAGGGTTTTTTGTTGTTTGGTTTTTTGGTTTTTTTTTTTTTTAACATTGATCTGAAAATTGAAGTTATGGATTGCTTTTTAAAAGGGAACTTCAGAAAAAATATCTCTCTCTCTTCCTCCCCTTCTCTCTCTCTCTTCTAGAAGTGATCCCAGGGAAGTATTTCCAGGCAAAAGTCTCTGACTTACAGATCATCCAAGGTGTTTTATGCACATCAAAGTACCTAATATTTGAAACAGGAGAAAAACCCAACTTGACTTCATCAGATTTACAAACAAGTTAGCTTTGGCTGCATTGAACATCTGCTGCAGGCCCCATGGAGAGGAAGTGTCTCGTACTTCTCCTGGGAACTTTTGGGCAAGGCTGGATGCAGAAAGTTCACTGCTGTGACAAACTGGCACTGATTTGCCCTTTAAAAAGAGGGGGGCAGCATTACAGCTAACCTTTTGTCAACAGTCTGTGGCAATGACAGGACAAACCCACCTGGATCAAGGCAAGAGGAAATGCCCTGAGAGCCCCAAATTTAGTGCACCATTCATACTTCATCGGTCTCTATACTACCCCCTCAGCACCAGCATCTCTGATAAAACAAGCCTCCCCAGGAGCCTCTATCTCATTTTTCTTGCTCAAATGGGTTGCAGAAGGGACTTGCTTTTGTTTCCACCAACACAAAGCCGAAAAAAACTCTCAAAGCTACATCCGTATGGGATGTGGGTGGTTGGAGAAAAATGGGTTTCCTGCTGCTTTGTATGTCCTAAAGCCTATTAACTGGTACTCTGTCTCTACCACTTCTTGTTTTGCCTGACAGGTTAAGCCCGCGTTGGCTTGATGAGACATTAGTGGCAGAACTTTTCCTGTGCCAGCCTGACACAATTCCCACTCCCACAGTTCTGATGTCCCTGATTAGCTGCTCTTGAAGGCACCATTTGAAGACATTGCACCACATCTTCTCACTGAGACCTCAAAGGGACCCTGTAACCCTCTGAAGATTGCTGTGAACTACGTAAGAACAAAACTGGTATCCTCAGTGCTGATGCAGCTAGTGATGAAGGCGGACTGGGGGAGCAGGGACACCTAACCAGAGATTTTCTCCCTGTTCAGCTGCTTCAGACATATTCTTGTTGCCCAAGTTCCTCTATCCTCAGCAGTGAGAACTGTAGTCCTCGTTCCTTCTTGTGGTCCACAAGCAGCTTTCTCCTGCCACACCTCTTAACAGAGATCTGTTTGTAAGTGTATATAAACCTGCTTCCCCCTGCCTGCCCTGACCTCTACTCTGTCCCACAACATGGAAACATAAAAAAACATGAATACAAACACTCCTGCAAATGCAAGAAAAGGGACCTTTTCAGTTTGGCTTCACATCTCGGGGTTGCTCAGGAGCCATTTTCAGCACTTCAAGTTGAAGTGCTTTTGAAAAGAAAAATCAGTGCTGAGGCAACCTGCCCAAAAATGAGGGGGTCAGTAGGCTGGTGTGGGGGAGGTGCAGGTGATGGAGGAGCAATGGGAGAGTGTCTCCAGTGTGTGATCCCTCATTGTGGCTGAATCACTAACCCATAACACGTAAATCAAACCCAGCTTGGGGATCACGCCTGCAGGCACACTCTGTTTGATCCAGGAAGGCTCACTTCAGCAGCAGCTTTTGGAAAGACCATGCCAAGTCTGGACAATGGGAAGGGCTGCTGTGTATTTCTGTTAGCATTGACACATTTGCCCCATTATTCATGGCTGGTCTGCATTTTGCTTCCTCTTGGTTCCCAGCCTAGTTTTTCACTGGGCTTTCATGCCTTTGAGGCAAGCAGCACTGAAATGGTGCCAGTCCTTTGTCAAGAGCCAACTGGGCATACCCTGGGCTTTAGTTTTTGCTGGCGACAGTCCCAGGAGAAGGTGTCTTCTGGTCCTCCATCGTCTGTGTCGCCTCTCCACTCTGCTGTCCAGCTCACTAATCAATTTTTAAATCTATTCGCTGATTTGTCAATTTTTTTTTTTTTTAATTTTAAGTGGGCATGATGGAAGAGTAAGGGTCTCAAAGACAAGTGTTAGGAAAACTGGTGTCTGGATCTTTTTTCTCCATCTTCTTGCAGCGCCAGCTGAAGTGAAAGGCTATGATGCATGAGCTCACTTTTAATCAGGTAATCCAGCTGGGAGAGAGCAATACCATAACAAACCATTCAGGATTAAAGAAAAGCTTCTGGCAGTGCCTCTCACCATCCATAAGACATTCATTGTCTCTGATACAAGTTTCAGGCTCTTCTCTGCTGGGCAGAGGTCCCCAGGATGGCCAAGCACTGGGACACTGCCCATAGCAGGAGCCACTCACTTCTCAAGGGGTCCTTATCCACTCCAACAACACCCACTTGGGTTTTATCTTCTATTTATGCCCACAGCAGAACTGGACAAAACCCAGTGCCATCTTTCCCAGCTTCCCATCTCTGCCCATGCCTTTGGCTTTCCACAGGTGCCCTGAAACCAGAGCAGAGTGGGACAGGGTGAGTGGGAAACACAACTGCATTGCCAGTAACGGGTCCTCAGAGTCTTCTGCCCAAATTGTGGATTTATTTGACTTCTCCCAAGACACTGTGAAATCTGAAGGTCAGGAAGAGAGTGGTCATATCAGGTCCTCCTCTGAAATGAGCTACCTGAACCCAGGCACATGTCTGGTCAAGTCAGGCTAGAGTTTCTCCAGGGTGGTTTGGCCACTGCTGGAGCTGCCAGCTGTGCAGGGGGACAAGGGGAAAGATTTGCTTGCCTTTCCTCCATGAAGGCACCACTTGGTCTCTGTCTGCATTGCTTCTTCCCTGAAATGCAGTGCCAGGAAGGTGTTGCTGCTCTCCCAGTCACTGGCACGAGGAAAGCAAACTGGCTGTCCTTGGCATTTGATATAAGGCTTTCCACAAACACCAGCTAATGGGAATTCCTCAGTGGTGTCCCTGGGAGCTTCAATATTGGATGTCAAGGCAGACTTTTGTCTTCTCAGCAGGCAGTTGGACCTGGTGTGCTTAACCCTTTCCAGCCCGAACCAGAGGCCGAGGGAATGAGCATGGCAGGGTCTCAGCGTGGGCTGGGGTCCTGCTCCAGCTCCCTGCTGTGCTTGGCTGCTCCATGCCCTGGCCTCAGCCACACAGCACTCCTGCTACTGCAAACTCAGTACACATCCAGCTTTGTTTTATTGTCAAGGTGCCTCAGAGGATAGGGATCCAGGAGGATTACTGAATGCCTTGCAACTCGGAGCTGGCAGGCACCCGGGGCACGGGGCACGCTGAAGGGTTTTGTTTGTGCCTGGTGAGAGCAGCTGTGGGCAGGAGCGGGTGAGCGGGGAAGTTACCAAAAGAGAAATAAGGAAACAAAAGGCGAATTGGGGCAGGGGGGTATGTTTGCATGGGGGAGGGCGGGAATTTCTTTTCTTTGTCGGAAAGTCTAAAGTGCCTTTCTTTAGTGCCTCGGTCGCTGCATGGGGCCTTGGTCAATAACATTCCTCCCTCACCCTGCGGAAGGAGACGGGCCAAGCAAGACACGGCTGAATGAAATTCCTCTCACCTCACCCCGTAAACATCCCAAGAGTCTGGCCCCATTATGGCTGGGTACAAAAGTCTGGGTCCGAGGCCGAACAAAAGGATGGGGAAGAAAGTGCAGGTTGCCAGGGCAACGCTGTCCAGGCTGCCTGGTTTTATCAGCAAGGGGCCTGGGTTTTCTGCCTGAGTTACGGGAATCTGAGGCAATTTATTTCCACGGCAAGACAGAGGCTTTAGAGGGCAGCATGGTGAGGCTCTGGCTTCGCTTTTGGTGCTCACAGCAGGGCAGGTGAGCTGGGAGCAGCCGGCACGGTCTCCGGGGAAGCCGGGTACCCTGACAGCCGGCAGCATCCCGGGAGGCACCGGGAGCAAAGCGACACCCAGGGAATCTCTGCAAAGGTTAACACAGAGCGCTGACCCTCCAGGGAGTCTGTCCAATCTGCCCCTTACAGGGTGTGGGATCTGTCCCATCCTCCTCTACAACACAAGGAGTCTGCTCATCCCTCTGTTTAGAGTCCATTCATCTCCCTTCAGTGAGGATGGACTTCTCCCTGCTTGGGGATCCCAGTACCCTGGCAGGCTGGATTAAATTGGGAAAAACTGGTTTTTTAGTAGCTTGACAGAGAGGCTTTTACAATTTAATTCCGCAGGCTTTGTTATTTACCTTTCAGATGAAGGCACGGAAAAGATGCCTTATTTCTAGACCTAGTGTTGTCTGCACTAGAGAGGATCTGGTCCACTCCCAGAGAGCATCAGAGTTGCCTCTGACAGGCCTGGATTGCAGTGGGAACATCTGTAACCCAGTGCCTGAGGGTCAGAAGGGACTGCCAGGTCCCCCAGCACAGCATTTAGCAAAGCTAATGCAAAATCTTAAAGCTCCCTGAGCCCATGAGAACTGGATCTGGGATGTGTTTTCATCCTGAAAAGGATGAGTTCAGCTCTGGGAGATTCAGTTCCAACTGGATTCATGTCCTCCCCTACCAGTTTTGGTGACAAATCCAGAATACTCTAGAGACCTGGAAGCAGTATGGACAACATAGCAAACTGGCTGACCCAAATCTTAACAAAGGCTGTTATGACACTAGGGAAAATATCTGTCAGGCATCCACTCAGCACAGTGGCTCTATTGGGAAACAAAGATGTTCATGATGGGGCTCCCAGTCAGTCTGAAGAGGATGATGATGCTGGGTGTAGGGTCAACATGCAAGGTGGAGAATGACAGTACGAAGCCTGAATGATATAACAAATTAAGATGCAAAAGTCAGACACGTTGATGTGTTATAGCCAGGACAAGCAGGTATTTGTTTGGTTTCCAAACAAACCAAAATGCCAAAATGCAGGTGTGATGGCAGGGTTTCCAGAGGCAGAGCCTCTTGCAGAAGAGAAAGAACCACACTGAATGTTGTGAATGTAGTACCCATTCCTGGTTTGTTTGATGTTTTTTACTGTGTGGGACGTGGGGAGTTTGTAGGATGGGTCAGTAGCATGCAAAGTCCTGGAACAAAACTTGCAGGCCAGCTCAGTTAAACGGCTGGAGCAGAACCAGCTCAGCAGGCCATGGAAAGCATTCGGCCGAGACAGCCTGCTCATCTCAATTCATCTAGACAAATTTCTAGACAAATGCACCAAGCTGTGCTCAATGGAGTGACAGGAAAATTACTAATTAAACTGAAGATGATGGGATTAGTGGGAAGAAATAGAAGTCGGGCACAGAAGCTGTACCTCTGGACAGAGGCAGTAGCAGGCTAGACAGAGTTCACCACTGGAGTTTCTCTGGAATCGATCCTGGGATTGATCTTGTTTATTCTCTCCATGAATGATGTTGTCATAAGAAGTGGGAGCGCTTAGGTTAAGCCAGCTGATGACGCAGAAGGGGGAGGCATTGTGAATGCAGAGGAGACAGGAGATCAAACAGAAAGCAGCAGACAACCTTGAGCACGGAGACGCAGGAATGAGTTGAAATTCAAGAGCACGAAATGCAAGACTAATCACAGGGTTGGGGTTTTTTGTGCTAGACAGGGAGTGTGTCAGTTGGACATGACTGAGGAGGAGGTGAACTTCGTTGTAGCAGTCATGGGTGATTATGAACCACCAATGAGCTAAAGGCACAAAAAGGCGAACGAGACCCGAGGGGTTTGGGATATTGCCAGTAGAAGCAGGAAATTATTAATAGCATTTGCGAAGTACTGACAAGACCTCATCTAGCATTGGGTAGGAGTCCTGGACAGGTAGGCTGAATTGTTGCCAGAAGCAGTGCAGAAAAATTCTCTGAATATGATCAAAAGACTGGAGATCCTGTTTCACAAGTAAAACAAAAGATAGAAGGAGTTATCTTCTCCATCGGTTTGCTTGTGATACCCAAGCACACCAGAAAAGCTCAGTAACTAGAAAGAAAGCATCCTGACAACTCCTGACACCCCGTGTCCCTGTGTGCCCTGCCCACCCCAAACCACCTGAGCTTTTGCCCTCCACAGGATCTGTTTTGCAGAGAGACCCCTTGCATGCTGCTCCTTCCCCCTCCTCGCCTTCGTGCCTGGAAACTGATCCCCACTTCAACTCTAAATAGGCAAAAAGAAAAGGAAAGCCAGTAGACTGGGTCTTTTGTACAGCAAAGCAGATTAGGGGCCTCCCAGGGACTTGCAGCTTGTAAGAGGGAAGGGCTGGGAAATGGAAGGAGGTAGGGGGGTGGCTCTGCTTTCCTCCATAGACAGTGAAACTCAGACTTGCCTTCGGTCTGCTCCTTGCAAAGTCTTTTTTGTCCATCTTCCTTCCTTTTTCCCCTCCTGCTTTGCATTGTGGATCAGCTTTTAGGGGACTAGAATCTTTCCAGTTCCTGCAGTGGATTTAATTCCTGGAACATGTGTCCTGTTCCCCGCTCCCATGCTGAACCAGGAAAGCCTTCACTCAAACAAAAGCCAAATCTCCCTCCTAGGGGCAATCAGGAAAAGGGGTCTCTGCAGTGGTCTCTGGTTCGAAGACAAAAGGTTCCTTGGACTATAGACAAGAGGGTTAGTGCCACCATGGATTATAGAAACAGCTGTGGGAGAAGGATTAGCCACCACCTGTGTGACAAAGGCTACAGGTCTCCAGTCCTGGGGCCAGCAGGACACATGGCAGATGCTTTGTGCTACCTGTCTGCCTGAGCTTGACTCTCAAGGTGCTTTCTTTATTTTCAGCTTGCCCCCTTCAAATGCAAAGTGCTTAGGCTAGCATGAGCCAGACTTGCCTAGACCCAGGTCTGGACAATCTCAGCCTCTTTTAATTTGAATTGACCGATTCCCTCTTTCCTACAGCCCAACCCCTCTTTGGCCATGGGCTGCAGGAAATGACTTGGTGTGGTGAGCACACTAAGGCAGAGCAATGCTGGGTACAGGGCAAGCACAGACCCTGCCACTGCCACCCAGGCACTGAGCTGCTCCTTGTGCAGCAGCTTGGTCTGCCATGGGACACTGGCTTTATTAAAGCCTCTTGACCTGAAGGGAAGTTGCTACACCTTTAAGTGCTCTGTAATGTCCTAATTGTTGGTGTGTCCATGCATCCCCCTATCCTTTTAGCCCTTCTGGGCTCAAGCTTCGTCCTCTGTAAAACATCCATAGCATAGACCCATCCTCTGGCAGGGGACTTGCAAAGCTAAAATCATTACCAGTTTTGAAACATTCAGCTGTTTTAGTGAACTCAATTGAAAAGCTTTTTAGGAGACTAATAATCCTACCTCCCTAGCAGAAATTGAATAATGTGCAGTAAATCCTGCCTCAGGCTTTGTGCACTGAACAACACTGTGGAAAATCCTTGTGAGACTTCTTGCTAACAGTGCAAAGTCAGTCCTGTGCGTGGGATGAACGAGGGTCCTCCGGAAAATGGCTCAGCTGTGGAATTAACAATAAACTTGCTGCAACCAGATTGTCTTGGGCAAATTCATGTGTATATGCATGTTTTGTTCTATAACAGTCACTTATTACAGTCCCTTTTGTCAAAGAGTTGTTGAGTTAAACTTTAAACAAAAAACCTCACCAGAAGGGTAATCCAGCACTGAAAATGTCTGCCCAGGGAGGCTGAGGGGGTCTCCATCCTTGAAGATACTCAAAACCTGATGAGATGTGGTACAAATTAACCTGCTTGAGCTGGCTCTTCTTTGAGACAGGTGGTTGGATGAGGTCTCCAGAGGCTCCTGCCAACTTCAACTGTTCTTTAATTTTTAAAAAGCAGTAAAAGGATGATTTAGCTTCTAAATTTCAGGACATAAGGCTTGCCATGGGAACTGACCATCCAGATGCAAAAGCACAGAGCCTGCAACCTCTTGAGCTGAGGGCAAGGAGATACCCTGCTACCCATAGAGCATGAAAAGCCTCTTCTCTTTGATTCTTCCATTCACCCAAGAGCAAAAGACAGTAGTGGTAGCCTGAATTATGACACTTGTGGGTTTTTCTGTTGCTGTCAATAACAAGGGGCAGCTTTAGTTCCCAGGCAACTGATCTGGTGTCTTTCCAAAGGCCTCTGGCAGTGGGGTTTCTCACTGACTCCCCTTCCCTTCCCTTCCCTTCCCTTCCCTTCCCTTCCCTTCCCTTCCCTCACCTATTTCACCTATATTGCACTCCACTCTCTTGGTTGCAGGTTTTTTGACATCCTTGCCTTTGATTTTCAGATCCTCACAGTTCTTTTTTAAACACAGGCTCTCCTCATGGAAACCCTCCAAGTGAGTGGCTATACAGGGGCAGAAACACCAAGTGAGTGTGGCAGAGATTAAAAACTGGGCTTGTGAGGGTACCAGAAGACACAGTGGTAAGGTACAGCTGCAGAGAAGGACATGTGAACTTGGTGCTTCCTGTAATCTGGGGTGATAAAGACTAAAGGACAAAGACTGGGAAACTGGGATCAGAATACAACTTTGACAGACCTTAATGTCTACAAACCTAGAAATGCTACGAACCACTCAAAACATATTTATCTGAATTTAACCAATCCTCACTTTGGATCATGGTGCTACTGCAGCAGGACGTAAGGCAAGAGGCACCCATGATGCTGCTAAATGCCACAGCATATTCCATGCCAAAACTGGGGTTACCTCACTGCTGAGCCTGTGGCTTCTGAAGGAGAATAAAAAACATATTTATCTGCACTTTACCAGATAAAGCTCAATAAAGCTGGGTATTTCCAAGAACAAAGGAAATTAAATTCTTCAGACTGCACTGTAGAAGTGACCCCCAATGTTCTGTGGCCCAAGCTCGTGTAGAATTGTAGATACAATTCTTTTAGACACAGAGACTTCTTAGAATCAGAATCTTTTTCCTGGAACTTTAGTCTTTAAAATGGAAAATTCCAGAAGAGACGGAGAACTTACAGGTTTCTAGGAATATCAGGATCAACTGTTTCCTAGCAGAAGGCAAGCAAGGGGCCAAAGGTGACCCCAGTACAGGCTCTGCCCTCACCAGTCAGGGCCCTCTTGGGTTACACTCACATCCTGGGAAGAGGGGGAACTGGAGCTGGGAATCAGAATGTTCAGATCAACCCCAGGGAAGCAGCAAACACACCATTTCATACAACATGAAATGAGATCCAACAGGGAAGAGGAGAGGGTAGGTGGAGGGGGATCCATTATTCATTAAGGCAACAGTAGTACAACAGAGCTTGCACAGACCCATGCAGTGCTGGATAAGGTTACTGCAGAAACAAGGGTTGGTAATGGTATGCCAGAGCTCTGCTTCTTGGGTGTAGAAAGCAGAGAGACATTGAGTCCTTCCTTTTCCTTTCTTTTCCCTTCTTTTCCCAGCAGATAACACTCTCCTGGGGTATATGACATCAGAAGCAAGCTTCCTTGGAAAGCTGTACTCATGGTCCTTTGAGGAAGACTTGGGGATTTAGAAACCTGTAGAGCACAGGAGGAGGGAGAAGCAGACCCCAGAGATGGCAGACAAGTGAGATCAAGGCTCTCTGCCTCCCGCCAAGGCTGATTCTGATTTCCCCAACAGGGAAACCTATCAGGGCTTGGCCCTTGTCTCGAATGACAGCACGTGTTTGCTATGGCTCTATGGTTTCTCACAAAGCAATGATTTTTTTTTTATTTTTTTTTTCCTGTTTGCTGCTTTTACTTTCCTCTCCTTGCAACCAGAGCTGCTGGCTCCTGTCTGGCAGGCTGGCTGTGGGACACCATTTGCAGATGGATGGGTGAGCATCCATGGCTATACGTGTAATGCTGACTATTACAACATGGAGGATATATCCTAGCAGCTGTCCTGAGGAATTAAACATCCCTGATTGTCTGGACAGAAATTGGGCTCTGGCTTTGCACTGCTTGGCTTGGAAGCATCCTGAGAGTGAAAAAGAGGGTGAGCCACAGAGCTGGATTGATTTGCAGAGGAAGGGCTGTAGCCTTTATAGCTTGTAATGGCATTACCTGCAGTGGTTTCTGGGGCTACTTAAACTCTGTGTGATGGGCTAACTCTAGCCCTTCTTTCAGGCAACAATGGTGGCTGTTACCTGCATCACTGTTACTGCTGGAACTCAATCAGGTGTGAGGGGCAAGGAGGGAATTGTTTCCTGGGCACTTCATGGTGTGTGTATATACAACACAGGTGGTGGGTAAGACAAAAGGGGCTATTTTGCTTAAACTGGTATGTTCCTGCTCACCTTTTGGTTGATGTGTAGGGGAAAGGCAATGGGGAGAGGATTATCTATTAAAAACACAATCAGATGCGGAATGTGAATATGGACTGTGGGCTATGATCCAGGGGAAAAAATCCACCACTCACTGCAATGCTTTTGTTTTATCTTGAATAGAAGCAGACCTGAAATCCTGGAGGTGATAGCAAATGAAGTGTTTCCTACCCTGGGTAGCTTGTGCAAGGCAGAAATGTATGCAGGCTTGTGCAGTGAAGGTGATCCCTCCACTGAGCAGCCGAGGAGGCAGCAGCAACTCTAAGCTCACGCCAGCAGCAGGGTGGCCCTGGGACTGTGACACCCTTATAGGGTGGTCCATTTTGATGGACTAGAGCGTGGGCTGAATCAGGCCCTTGTGCAAAAAGAGCTCTTCCTCAGCTGAGGGAGGCTTTGCAGGATCAGACTCTGCTGGTGCTGCAGGAGGTGCTGACACCAAATCAGTGCATGTCATCACCAGGCTGTGCCCAGAGGGATGTATGGCTTGAGCACGATGGCTTGGATCATGTCCCATGTATAGTACTAGGGCTGCCAGGCACTGCAGCCAGAACATTTAGTGCTCACCTGGAATACATTGCACGATATATTTAGAATGCCTTTTTTTTTCCCCATTGTTTTTAATTGCATTCAGCTTTTTTGATATATCTGCTGGTGGTGGGCCACATGGTTTTGCAAAAAAAAAGGCACCACTGAGCAGCGTGTGGGCCCTGTGTCTGCCTGTGAGCCAGGTCCCATCTGGCTGTAATTACTAGCTTCACATCAGCAGAAGAGTGTAATATTTAAACACAAATGTTTGATGTTTGCATAGCAAACCTCAGGATGGAAAGCTCTTGATAATCAGCCTGCAGGGAGGAGGTGGGCTTGCTGCAGGTGAGCACTGAGGTGTGTGGGATGTAGCAAGACTTTGTGGGGTTTTATGGGGTTAGAGAGAAGAGCAACACTGAATTCAGAAGCCCTTCATGCCTCACTCTGGGCAGAAGCTCCACAAAGCATTGTAATCCTCACTCTCAGGCAGATGGGCTACGAGCCACATGGAGCAGTGTGGTGCAGGGCAGATGACCCTGCCAGGGATCTCCCATCTCATCCCACTCAGAACATGTAAGGAGGTCACTGAAGCTTGCAAAATGGTAGAAGAGCTCCTGAAATCAATACAGGCTCCTTGCCCTGAGTAGTAGCCATCAGGATAGATAACAACCCTTGTTAGATTTCAGCAGCTCAGGCACGAGCTATGCCTGGAGAGCAGGGAGCTGGAGCCAAACTCACAGAAACATGGACAATCTACTGCCCTGGCCCCCCAAAATTAAGATTGAGAGCACAGCAAGCATTAGCCACCTTCTCTGGCAGAGGTAGGATCCACCCCTAGTACCCTTCCAAAGAACCTTCCCCTGCTTGTAGTGGACACGGCGTGAGATCTGTGTGTGGCACTTTGCTTCCCTGCCCTTCAATCCCAGTCCTTTGGGGAAGGAAAACAACAAGCTTGTACTTCGCCTTGCTCCAATTGGGACGACAAGTGAGAAAACGGCTTCATCTGCTCCCAGGCACCTCTGGAAGGTGACAGACATGTGCTGCCTGCAGCATCCTCTGCTTAGCCTTAAAGTCCAAGCATAACCATGTACACCCAGACAAATGAGATTCCTGGAGCTTCTGGCCCCTGTGCCACCTCCTGTAGGGTACACAGCACCCTTGCTTTGTTCCTGACAGAGAAGAAAATCCATGCCTGGAGATGGCTTTTGGTCATAATGCCATCATGGGGCTAGCAGCTGGCTCTTCCTGAGCTTGTCCAGACAAGGTTCAACCTGTCACATCTTGTCATTTTATAAGTGCAGGAGGCTAGTGCCTAGGATAACAGGATAATAATGGGATAAGAAATGCCTCCTCACTGTCTCAGGGGGTTTGGGGACCTATTCTCTGCAACTTGCACACCCAAGGTGAGCCAGCCCTACTGTCGTCACTGCCTCTGAGGAGCATTGCTCATCTCGACAAACTTTAAAGCTGCATCCTGACAGACCAAAATAAATCAATCAATAAATAAATCGTCCGTCTCGTCTACTGGATTCTGCAGTTTATTTCCTCGGCGCTGATGAAAAATAGTTGGATGCTTAGTAGCTTCATGAGACTAATTATGATAAACGGCCCCATCGCTGCTAATATCCGGACATTAATTCCCAGATGGAGCTGCAGAAAATGTCAGGAATGGAAATGTCAGCTCTCTAAAAGGACCTGGCAGGTATTGAAGTGGGGACTGGAACGTCAGCAGAGGAGGGAGTAGGGGGAGATCTGGGAATTAGCAGGATGTCGGTACACATTTGGAAGCTATAACTCCTCTCACTTGATTTCCCAGTTCCTCCCAGCAATGCCACAGCCACAGCTTTCTTCAGATTTTACCTTCTCTCAGCTCTGCTCCCTGTACCAAGGCAAAAGATTGTCACTCACTAAGCAGGTGACAATTTCTTTGGGCAGAAGAAGCTCAGCCTTAAGCTTCAGGAATCTCCTTGCCACTGAGATCCCCAGAAATGTCACCTGCTCTGCAGAATGGACACACCAATAATTCCCTTTACACTGGGTGTGGGGCAGGCAGGCTGAGAGCCAACAAAAGGTCTTTCCCAAACTCTGCTCCCTTTCTCCTCTGGATTTCATATCTATCTTCATATTTACATTGCTACAATTACCAGTTGAAAGCAAAAATATGATGGAAAATAGCAAAAAAACTCTCTTGGGGTTTTTGTTCTGGTTTTGGGGGGTTTGTTTGTTTCTGGTTTTTTGTTCACTTTCCACCAAGAGTTTTAAATAGTTTCTTGTATTTAAAAGAGTTATTTATGAAGAATATTCCCTGCCAAGTGAGAGGTACTTCAAGAGTAGATGGACCAGCCAGACAAATGGTATGAATGCCCAACTACTGACAGCACTGTGTCAATAATGGCAGGAAGTCAGGCTGGCACCTAGTGCAATAAATCAGCTGATGAGCAAGTTCAAGAAACTCTGTTTTGAAGCCATTTTAAATCAAAAAATATTGGGCTGTCCTCTCATGGTGCAAACACCAGCATTGGTTTTTCTGCTCTGTTCAGCCTGCTGGCTCAGGCCCTGCTCTGCACAGCATGTGAAACAGCGGTGTTCACACGATGATCTGTTCCAGCTTTTGGCACATGCTTTCCAGTGGAAAAAATCTGAACAGGTTGGGGATTCCTTGATCAGATGCCAGTTGGTTGAAAGAAAGGCTTTTCACAGGAGTCTGTTGCTGTTTGTTAGCAAAGGCTGGAATTTTTGCTCAAAGCCAGATCATTTCAACATTTACCTGCTGAGAGGAGAGTTAACATTGAGCCTGATGGGTCTGGTTCAGACCACAGACTTGAACCAGAACTCTCTACAGCCCCCAGCAAGTTCTCTTGTGGTAGGGAGCCAAGATGCCTCTGTATCTCATGAAAAGCTTGAAGTACCTCTGGAAGCTTCAGGGAAATTTTCCAGCCTTTCTATAAGGAGGCAAGTAATGAGGAAGTAGCTGCACCATATTTGCTGTGGAGCTACCCAGCTCTAAACCTCCTGTGTATGTTCTGGCAGATGACCTGTCATCTGCATGAAATCTGGCCATTGTTCTCCTGGGACTTCTGAGGCATTTAAGGGTCTAGCTCCAGGGGACTTGGGAGCACCTCAGCCACTAACTCTCTCTGGAATCAAGGTGCCTATAAAGTACATATGGGCTCTTCTCAGAAGAATCTCCCAACTTACTGGGAGCTTGCTGGCTGACAAGCTCCTTCTGTCAGCAGCCCCATGGAAAACAACAGCATTGCATTTCAGGCAGTTCTGGCTAAATCAGCTGAACCAATTGTGTGGAATTGGCTACTGCCAATCCTCTGCTCACCACTGCTGAGATCTCATCACTGAGGCTTTTTATCTTTTTATCTTCTTCATCTCTGCCGGCTCAGGCTCGGCCCTGGTAATCCTCACCATCATCTTCCTCCTTCTGGACAGCTTTTTGTGAGTCTTTCTTGAGGCAGTAACCTCCGCCTGCAAATTCCCTGGGGAAGTCTTCTGGGTTAATGGTGTGATCCCCAGTGTGAGAGCACGCACTAGGAAGATGATGCACTGTGGCACAATGGTGGAGATGAAGGATAAAGTTAACTAACAAGAATGCCACTATCAAAGTCTCATTCACTTTCTGAAGCAAAAACTAGCTGGAAAGTATAGAACTTTCAGCTACAAACTGCTCACTGGTCCCAGCCTGACTGAGTTCAAGGTAACAGACTTGTGTTGAGAGAGCTGTTGAAAGCAGCAGGAACTTAAAGAGAATCTGGCTTGATATCACCTCCCCACAATCAACCTGCCCCTTCAGGAGAAGTGCTGAGGCAACAAGAAGTCAGACCTCTCCCTGCTTTATGACTTTCTCAGGGGTTTGTCTTGGGGTTTGATCTGAGTATTTTCTGTCAAATGTACTTTAACATTGTCAACATGTGGTGTTTTACTCTAGATTAATGCTGTGTCTTGTGTGTGGGAACACATGTGGGTGTGGAGACAGAAATCTAGGGCCTTATTCTCTAGTGGCCTTGTGCTTTAAGGATCATTTACACCTTCAGCAAAATGTGTGTGGGGTGGGTATGGAAACACTGCTAAATCTGATGGGGCCTGCCACCCACGGCAGGGGTGGCAAGTGATGGAACAAAACAACCAGCACATCATCTCCAAGGTCCACGGAAGTCGAGATTTTTGCTATTTTATTCTTCCTCCCATAACTAAGGGAAGGCTGTACTCTGTAGAAGCAAGTTTTGGTGTGATATGTGTTTTCTGGGCTATTGGATTGGGATTGATGGAGGAGAGCCAAATAAGTGAAAAGAAAGAGAAGAGCAGGAAAGTGGCTCCCAACAGCTCAGACCATGTACAAGGAAAGCTAGGCTCTTCAGCCAGAAAAGAGACTCAGAGACAGAATGAGCCACTAGCATGTTTCACATATTTCTCCTTTCCAGTGCTAGCTCACATCTTAACACCTACTGAAACTGGTTTGATTCTCATGTCTGGTAACTGTGTGAAAGTTCTCTCCCTCCCTGTGAGTTCAGACTCTGCTAGCTTTTTCTCATGCTTTCACTCCAGTGGTGTGACAGGAGACAGGGAGAATATTGTATTCCTTCTTCCGAAACATCCTTGCACTAAGGAAAATACTGGTTAAGACACTGACCAGTGTGTTTCAGCAGGGACTCAGGAACTTCTTCTTGGAGAACTGTTTTCTTGGGAACTCAGCATCGAATCTGTGGCCTCAAAAGAACCCATGGCAGAAAAGGAGCACTAAGAACTGTCAGAAGAAAGACAACATTAAACCTTTTGTGCTGGCCCAGGGTGGGACAGGATCTCAGCTCAGACTGATATGAGAAGGTGAAAGCACAGATATGCTCAGCTGTGCAAACCATCACCACTGCCACTTTGAATCTGCCCTTTGCAAGTGGGTAGGCAACACATTCCCCTGTCTGGTCTTCCTGGGCTAAAGGAGCACCCATGGAAGTAGAAGACAGTGCCAGCAAATTCTTCTGCAACACCTGGGAGCTAGGCTTTGGAGAACCAGAAAGGCCTTCAGAAGGCAGGTCAGGGAATGGATCAGACACAGCAGCACACACATGGAGAGCAGGTGGCTCACACACCTGTTTGCTTTCTGTCCTGACCTGGTGGGTTTGTGAAGGCACAGATCAGCGGGGCCTTCACCTCCTGACTTGCTGAAGCATTCTGTGGTGAACTTTGAAAGCCTGGTCCAAAATGAAGCCCAGCTGACCACAGGAAGAGCAAGACCTGCTGTGAATCCCAGCCTACTGCAGGGGGGATGAAGCCAGCATGAAACGGATGCATAATTTTCCCATGCAAAGGGCAACGGGGCTCCACCGTTGTTTCCTCTCAATCAGAGAAGCCATCTGGGATGTGACTCCAGGGAACTCCAGCAAGAGCTGTAATTATATCAAACATAATTGAGGCAAGCCAGCAGCGCTCCTTACTTAAGTAAAACGATGAGGCCAGCAATATGACAGAGGACGTACACCTGGGAGTTTCTCCAGCATCCGCTGCTTTCAGTGAGGCTGGGAGCAGTTCAGCATGGAGTGCAAATCCACCCAGAGGCCTCCTTGCTGCATGGGGCTGATGCTGTGAAGCAGCTGAGCACTGCTGTGAGGGAGCTTGCTTATCTGGAGAAGCTTATCTCTTCTCTGAGGCTCTGCCTGCCTCACCTTTCTCTGTCCAAACCTCACATCCCCTCACTTGCAAATTTTCAGATGACACAAATGCCTCACCCTTGACTTACCAGGCCTTTGCCCCTGGCAGGTACCCAGACAGGGAGAGGAGCCAGTGCTCTCAGCCTGGGCTCCACTGCCTCCCCATGGCATGCCCCCCATCCTGGTGCCTCTTTGCCTAATTCTCTGCCCCCTCACGAGGCCTAGTGGGCATCCCTTGGGCCAGCCCGCCAGCTGTGCTGTTCTGCTCCTCTGGCCCTGCTTTCTAGGACTTGCACCTCTCCCAGGTGCACAGCTGGGAGGCAGCAGGACTTACTGTCATCCTGGACCACGCCAGCAGGCTTTGGGGGTCTCAAAAGAGCTACAAAGCAGCCCTGCCCACCCGCCTGCCACAGCTCTCCTCCTGCAGGAGCCTCCACTCATCTCCTGTTTCACCCTTTCCTCCTCCTCCTCTGCCCTTTGTACTCCTTCACAGTAGATCTCTTATGGCTTGGGGATTTTTCTCTTTAAATCCTTTCCCCTCTGCTTTTCCACCTCCTTCCTCTCCCCCAAAATAATCTAAACCTGTTCTTCCTCACTCCCCCACAGGGCTGGCACTGTTTGTCCCTTCCCCACCATTCCCTCTGTGGGAGACCAGCTTGTTGGGGCCTGTTCAACAGGACTCAATGCCACTTTTCCTTCTGCAGGGATGACATGTTCTCCAGGGCCACTAGCCCCTCATCTCCACCCAACATGATCTTTTAGCTCAAGACTTTCATGGGTACACAAGGTTGGTTTAGATAAGCCAAGCCGCAGCTCTACATCAGCACCCTGCCTACCTTCACTCGTTTTGGGGATGGGATGGAGGAAGGATCTGTGTCTGGCAGGGTTAGCAACCAGCTGTGGAGATGGCACTGGGACAGCAGTTACCCAGCCCCACGCCTTCCTCACATGGAGAATGGGGCCCTGTGGCACTCGCTGGCTCCTTGCTGAGATGCCAGCCCTGGAAGGCACGGGTTGGTGGTGGCTCGGTGGCACTGCTCCACAGCCATAGCCTGTGGTGGCAGCTCCGCGTTGGCCCTAGTGCGGTGACTCAGGTGTCCCCGTGGCGGCAACTCAGAGATGCCGGTGCCAACTCCGTAGCGGTGACTCGTAAGTTGTTCCAGGGACTCTGCGATGTCCCTGCGACGGCAGCTGAAGCGGCACCCGGAGCTTTGCGGTGTCCCTGCGGTGGCTGGGTGCTGGCTCTGAGGTGGCACAGGGCGCTCTGCACAGCCCCACGCTGCAGCTGCAGCTTGGGGCAGACCCCGCTTCCCCAGAAGAGCGCTCCCCCCCGGCTCGGGTGTGGCGTTGCCCGGCCCGCGCTGCCCCGCGCCTCCNCTCGGGGCCGGGCCAGGAGGGCGGGCGGGTGAGCAGGTGTGAATCATGAGGGAGTCCTCTCGTGCTTTGAGGACACTGGAAGTGGCGGGCAGGGCCGGGATTTCTCGGAGCGTTGGGAGCGGGGTGTCCCCGGGGCTGGTGCCCAGGGAGCTGCTCCTGGCGCTGCCCCATCCCCACACGTTAACAGCCCCTGGGCTGCTCCTCCCCGCACCGCGGCCTCTTTCAGAAATGAAACCGACAGCATTGTTTGTTTCATCCGTGTCGTGCTTCGTAAATGACACAAACCTTGTTGGGGTCAGGGTATAAACGCTCGGCGGGGTGTCCTGAGGCACCACCGTGGCTGTGAGGCCAGGCCGTGCCGCAGAGCCCCGGGTAACGAGCACCACCGGCCGCCACCCGCCCGTGCTGCTCCCCCCGCACCGGGCGGTGCTTCCCCGTGGAGAAAAGAATGCATTTGAAAACCCAGAGGAAAATCAATTTTAAAACTCTGCAAATTGTTGGAGGGAATGGGCTGCTATAAAACTCGAAATTACTTTCAACTCTCTTTTTAAAGTAGAAGGGATTTGAAGTATGGGATGGTGTTTAAAGCAGTTTGCTGAGAGCACATCACCTTGCCTGAGCTTATATTGTATGGCTTAAATTATAGGAAGAGGGAATTTCTGCATGTTGGTGTCCAGATGGTCTAGTAGCTGGGGTTCTGTCTATGCACACAGATAAATAGATTTTAGATAAATACTAGGTTTCAATCTGTGGTTTTGCTTAGGGGTTAGATGATATTTAAAGTACTATTCTCTAGTTCTGTTGCAATTTTTAGCCATTTTAAACCTTATTTGAAAGAAAAGAGTCCCATTTTGTCAAAGCTTTGGATCAAAGAATTGAAGTAGAGGCAACAGATCAAAAAGCTCGTACCAGACGTTGAGCAAGACATGTGGGAGTTTGACTTCTTGGATGTGTAAAGCCTGGATTTACCGAGAAATTGTAATTATAGTTTTGCCACAATGACACACAGACGCTGTAGCTAATGTTGTGTCAGCAGTGCCATAAGAATATGCTCTCACTTTGAATAGTTCAATTTAGCATAATACATTGTACCTGGTATATCTAGGAAACATGCTTTTCAGGTGTGAGGGGAGCATGACTAAATTATTGCAGAGATAGGTGTCTCAGCAGTCAGGAGAAGGTTTTATAGCTAAAGCTCGGTGCCATCCAGATGTTTGCCAGCAAAGAACAGGGAGATACTCCCAGCTGTTCAAGTGAGGGAGAATGGTTACTGAGGAGGGCAGAGAAGCTGCTTTCAGGAGGACATCTCAGCTACTTGTGATGAGCTGGACTCCTATTTCCTCCACTTTTGTGCCTCTCCTTGTCAAAGGAGAGCTTCAGTCCTGAGGAAAGTGCTTCAAGTAGGAAAGGATTGAAATCTGTGAATGTGGCAGGTATCCAACCTCCTGCCCCAAGTTGGAGTGTGACAGGGAAGTGGGCAGTTTCAGTGCTCTTCTTCAGGATCCCTGGAACAACCAAGGAATCCTTGAGCACAAGCTATGTGGTACCATCAGCAACTGCTGTAGCAGAGCGGCTGAAAGCTTGAACTGCCATTGTGTGCTCGCTGTGGGATGGGAGGTGTTCTCTCTCTGGCAATCCATGCCAAGCTCTGCTGCCCAGGGATGAGGGTCTGGGATCACTCCTGGATGGAGGGAGGGGAGGACAACCCTAGGTCTGCATGCTGCACATTCTTTCAGGGGTGTGGAAAGGCAGTTGATGTTGGAAGCCTGGAAAGAGGGAACTGCTCTGCAATAAACTTCTTGGCTCAGCACTTGGGCTGAGTCAAAAAAATTAGAGGGTCTTCTCATCTTTGAAACCAGCTTGGAAACCATTCCTGAGAGGTGTATGGGACCAGCCAAACCACCGAGCTGGAGGCTAGCACTGAAGTGAGCTCCCCACCATGCTCTGGGAAACATCCTTGTTGGAAAACCCAGACACATCCCAGCAGATGAGGTGGCAGGAGAGTAGGAGTCCCTTTGTGCTTAGCAGTTCTCCCACATCCACATCAGCTTTAGTGCTCTCAGACAAGCTGTTTTACTGATTTGTTTGGGGAAATACTGGGAAAACTTTGGATACCTTTGTTTGTTCTTTATTTTAAGTGGTGTATGTCAGATTTTTCTGCAATTGCAAACACACGGACCTTCCCTCTGTGCAGCTGGGAGAGCATGACTGATGTTTCTGATCTGGACACTGAGTAGGGGTTTGCTTTATTTTGACATAAGTGCTCAGGATGGACTTTACAGAGGTGTGAGTGAATACACAGCAAGCAAAGTAGCAAAGAATTAGGCCTGCTGTGGGCTGGCTTGGTGCACTTTTCCCTAATGATGGAAACTTTGTCCATCATAGGCAGCAGCCACATTATTTTGGTTCCAGGAAGAGATTGCCAGTCCTGCTAAATTGGGAATGGGTTCAGTCACTCACCCCTACTAAAAGTTCAGATGAATCTTGTGTCCTGGAGCTGGCTTCTTTAATTGGATGGTTTTAGGATTCTGGTGGTAAGAGGCAAAAGTACAGCAAGTCATTTTGGCACATTGGTCCTGCTCCCAAGGAGAGGATGCTCAGGTGACACATCAGGAGAGGCACCGCAGGGTCGTTCTGCCTTGCTGCTGTTCCCCGAGCCAGTGCAGCAGGCATGAAAGAGTCCAGCAGTGATTCATCAGGAATCCTTGGATCTTGGCTGATTCCAATCAGTCCTGCTGGGCTGCTAAAATAGATATGGCCAGAGCATAAAATAGCTAATAAAAACAAAATCCTCCATGGAAAATTCATTCTTCAGGGTGTGAGGTTCCAGTTGCCATGCCAAAGCAAAGCTGAGAGGAGAGAGATTTGAGATTTTCTAGCTTGAAGGAGGGGAGGGGGTATTATTGATCTCATCTCCCAGGTCTTTCCAATCTGTTAGTTTACTCCATTTCACTTAAAAGATTCGCATCATGGTAACCTTGATTTATTATCTGATTTCTTTTTTGATTCAACTTCTCAAAATTGTGCACTGGCTTGAACCTGCAGTAATAAACCAGCACAGTTATTCCCTCTTATCTCTGGTATGCATGTAATGCTTTCTCTGCTGTGCCCGATTCATTCTCACAGGCAGGCAGCAAGGTGAAATTTTGAAAAGATTGCCCTCCCTCATCAAGAGTATAGGGCAAGCAGAGTTTTCACTCCATTCTCTGGCAGAGAGGGCATGGTAGGAAGGGATCCTGTGGCATTGTCTCCTGGTCAGGATGAGACTCCAGACAAGTACTGTGCCTGCTGTGGCCTTCAAGACCAGCCAAGGTCTTTTCAGCACTTGTGTGTGGGAAGCTGGAAGACTCCTACAACAGAGGCTTGGCTACCAGAAGTAAGAAAAGTCCTAGCAAGGGTACAGGAGACAAACCACTAGTTAAGTAGGGCTGGATGGGGAGTCTGGGTAAGCTGTATTGGCCTCAGAGTGCCTTTGAGAGACACTATGGAGAGCTTTGACTCATAATTTATAGGCATAAGCTACACAGGTATGTGTACATCATATTATCAGTGTATGCGTGTGCAGGCTGGAGGGGTTTGTATCACTTTAGCTATTCTAATTAGTTACAATAGTCATCCCTCTGTTTAGAGAAGCCTAAAATCAAGGGTTGCATTATCCTCCTGCCAGAAGTCTGAGAGCTCTTCTTAATTGGTATCTCTCAGTGCACAAAGGTTTTTATAAAATGAAGCTGTACAGCTGTGTTACTTGCCTGGACTTGCATCTCCCAAGGTGGAAGAGCAGAAATTGTTTGTGAGCTGAGCAAAAATATCCCCTGCAGGAGGAGAAAGAGGGGAGCTTCTGGCTATATTTTAATATGTGTTAGGTGATGCTTAAACATCTGTCATGAATTATTTAAATGAAAGAGGCAGACTTACACCTGGGAGTAGCTGTGTTGGTATCCTAGGCTGTAGCCTACTCCCACTGGAGTCAAGCGTGACAAGGTTTTTAAGGGATTTGGGTGCAGCAAAAGTAGTACTTCTCTTGTAGTCCCAGTTTACCCAAATTCTCCTGGCAGCCTTTTGAATGCTGCCACAGATCCGGGAAGCCCCTGCTGCTTAAGGAAGGCAGCTTTTCTTGTGTATACTGCTGGTTTTCCCACTCTTAAACCCATCTGGAATAATAAAGCAATCTCTTTCTCCAGGGTTAGTGAGCCATTGAGGCAGCCATGTGAGTCTGATGGCCCCCAGGCCATGAATGCAGCGGTTGGTATCGAATCAGGGGATCGAACCTTCCATGTTACCCACTCATCGTAGCAAGTCAAGGATATCCAGCACTGTGGGAGGGTGTGGAGGAGTGCCAAAGATACAGTGTGTGACAGCCTCAATGTCTTTCCACTCATAGCAAGCCCAGGGTTACGTCGCAGCATTGTTCTCCTGAGAAGATGGAGAAAGCAAGGAAGGAATTGAGGAATTTTCTGAGTAGGAGCCGTCCCAGTACCAGCAGCGAGGCTTCTGCTGATGTCCCTACTCCAGGAGCCTCCAGTAGCTCAGGGGTAAGTGCAAAGAGCAGTCCTTTCTCCCACACTGTCCTGAAAGGAAAAGACTGATGTGTGGACACGTTTAGGTTTCACCTGAGGTCCTAGCCCTTCCTTTGCTCAGAGGCCTTTGTGCAAGACCTTGAACTTTACAAAGTGAAGCCGTGAAGCTCATCCTGGTCAGAGTTGTGTTGCCTTCCTCTGTAGTCAGTGACAGCACTGTCACAATTGCCTGGGTTTGGTATGCCAGTATGGCAGGGCAGGCTTGTGGTTGTGATTGTAGGTGATATTTGGTAGTAAAATTCCTCATGATTGGCTGCCTAATCAGCCCCCAGTCAACATCCTAAGCTGACATCAGGCCACATGCTGCTGGGAGATCCTCTGTCCCTGTGCATTGGGCTGAACTTTTCAGGTATTTGTATCTCTGAGCCTTTTCTGATCATTGCT